GTAAATTCGTCGGTCATTTTCCTGTTTTTTGTGTCTTTGCTGTTACTAGTGACGGAAACATGTTCATTGGAAAAATCGTTTTTTTTTTGCGCGTTTAAACAACACACTGCGTCAAAATGGTTGGATAACAAGCAATCGTAGCAATATTATCGTCGAGCATGAAAATATAAACAATGTGAAATTTGTTTATATTCCGGTATTTGCGCATTCGTTTGTTCTGCCTCTACGCGCGCAATCAATTGAAGTGCCATCGAGCGTCTGCCATTTAAATTCATTTTCATGTAATACGACGCACGAATAAACGCACACAATATACGCGCCCCTTCGATAAAGAATACAATTTTAATTAACATTAAAGTTTAATGTCAAATGTGTATTGGGTCGCTGCTTTTGTTTACGCGCATATATTGTTTTTGCATATTGAAGTGCGGCCACACAATGCACGCTCCAGATGAAAACGAGACCATGTGGGAAATTAAGTAACAATTTCCGGTCTGAAATTCTGTACGCAATTGTTGTACCATATTAATAGTTTGTTGTGTGCCCACATAAGGGGTTCTTACATCTTTTAATGATCACGTGTCTCAGAAGCCGTGACATGCGACCTATGTAAGAGTAATATTTGCTGTGTTTTGTACGTGTGTTATAACCAGAGACCAAAAACGTCAATGATGCAAAGGCAGCAGCAGGAGAAAACCTTTAAAAAAACGAAAGAAAGCGTACGCATTGTTTGTTTTTTGTTTGTTCCTGCGGACAAAAGAAGGTATTGACATGCCAAGATTAGTTTCAGTCCTTCAGTTTCACTACTCGGGCGCGTTATAATGAGAAAGTAAAAATATATATTGAACAAAACACACGACAAGGTGGTGAGTAAAGTGTCGACGTTTAACTAAAGCTGGTGTTCCCGAAAATGCTCCTAAATTAGCCTCGATGATTAGCGAGTGATTCGTTTCAGCGCAGTGTCAGAGCTGAGGAAGTCGTTTCGACTGATATTTTTGTTACCATTTATTACCGACACTCTGCTTGGCGAGTCAGTGAGTCACTCGTTTCCAAGCAATAAAAGTTCACCTGTCGTCTATTGTATTCCTTCTTCCGTTCTCATGCGCCCCCCGCGTCTCGTCGACCGCGAACGTCTTGATCGCTTTTTTCTTGGCAATGTTTTTTTTTCAACGTCTTCGCTTGTCTGCGGTGGGTGCACGGAGTGCATCGAGGGGGCACTCGCCAAGGGCAGAGGTTACAGTGGGCCGGCCACCGTTACACTTCTGTGGTTCGGGTGTGAAAAGAACTCAGAACCTCACAATCCCACGATTGTATAGTTTATAAGCGCTGTCTCGCTCATGTTTGCCGCCACGGTGAATAATAACTATTAAAAATTATGTTTATATTCTCATTCTATCAGCGATTACGTTTACCTACGATCCGAGACGCTCCAAGACGCTCCACGTGCATTTCAAACTCATTAAAAAGCAAATAGGAATTAGTTTAGATAAATAATCTGGAATCTAGACAACGATGAGTATGCGAATAGGCATATATAATTTTTTTTCCATATAAATAGACACATAATTGGATCGCGATATTATTGCATGATTATGCGTTTTATAATCACACGAATGTGAACATATTTCATTATGCTATATTATTCAATTTGTACCTACGCTAGAGGTGAACACGCAACCACAACCACCCTCGCGTTTATTTTTATAATTGCTGTAAGTCGAGGCATTTTTCTGCGATGTATGCAAATTTTTCAATTGCCCGCGTAATCATAATCATTATATATAATTTAAATTACTGCCCGCAATACTTGGTATTTTCAGATAAGCACCCACAGAAAGAATTGGAAATTATAACTTTACAATAAAAAAATTATGCGTTCTGAACTCGAACTCCGAGAATGTTTTATATTTTCAACGATTTGTTTGTTTCCAACTCATTTCATTTCAACCGCAAAAGTTTGATTACAGATTTACGTAATCAAACATTTTTTAAATTTCAATTAAACATTTTCGTATGTTTTCTGTTTGTGCGAAGTTTTTTAATTAAAGAATTTTCCACTTTATACTATTTTTATATTGATTTTAAACTAGGTTTACTCAAGAGTCATTTACTTGACTTTTTGCATAGGAAGTGAGGTAAACGTAAGGCCTGTGAAGTGTATTGCGGAATACTAATTACAAACGGAACGAATAAAACTTGCCTACGTGGTAATAACAACACATGACTGTAATCTTCCTGCAAAGTCGAAATCTAATATACATTAAAGTGTACAGCGTCTTCAGTCATCCTGCGATATGCCGTGAGTTGAAAAACGTCGAAATTAAAAGAAAACGAACGCGAACGCGGCGCGCAGAGATTTAACACAACAAGAAGTCGAAGAGATATCCGTCGTGAACGCGCAGAACAAGATCGAGAGCACTGGAGGCACGATATGACGAGATGTACGGCGCGCACCGGATGTTGAAAACCTGTTTGGTAATAAGGCCCCGACTCTCAGACCACGACCTGCTACCATTTGCTCTGCAGCGCCTCGTACTCCGGACGAATTAATCCAAATAAAATATGATTGTAAGCATCGGCCAGCGTCGCACAGCGTCGTATCAAACGCTTGCGCTGGGCTCAAAATGACAAAAGATGCAACGCAGAAATGTTCGTTTCGAAGGCTTTAAATACACTTCACGCTTGAGTAGTTTAATTCTTTGCAGTAGATGGATGGGCTCACGCCAGTGAGAACGCTCTGCACAGCGCGCAATTTTCATTATGTTTTGATGAACTTCTCCAAAGGCGTTCATGGTAGTAATTAATGCGCGGAAAGAAGAGGCGCGTATTTATGCAGCAACATTGGCATTGGCATTCGACCGACGACGGCGGTTATAAATGTAATAATGCAATAACACCGCGCGCATGTTGGAAGTCAAGTCGCGAAGGATGAGAAGATGGAAGAGGCCCAGCTTCTCCACACTCCAGAGGCCTAGTTTTACTGGTTTTCTTATTCAGCTCTTTTTCATTTTCTCATTTTAATTGATCTACATGTTGACCTTCTGTATGCTTGGGATGTTGTTGATGTACTTCGGATGTTGGTACCATTCACTGGGAATCAGCAGCAGACGTTTATAATCTGTGTGCGGAGATTATATAGACGTGAAGAGAAATCATCTAAGAAAAATGATTGTTATCAATTCACTGCTCCTTAAGAGCGGGTATTTTTTTCTCTCCTTTTGCATCCTGAGCTTGTGCATTTTATGTTCTTGGCATTTTTTATTTTTCGAAAAACGTTTTGACGGCACAAAAGCCTGAATCGAGCTTATAATAAAACTTATAACTTAAAACAAAAGCCGTTCGGACATAAAAACGAAATTGCAAGACATAAAAAATAAAGGAAGGAGCTTTTATATCGCCGTCTACTTTTCTAGCCGTTGAAAACTAAAATCGTCTGCTCGTTTTCCGTGCTTCTGTTCGTTTGCGATTGCATTGGGCAAAAATCTCGGCACGTCTGCTTAAAGTAAACGCCGGTAATATATTTTTTTCTTTCGCTGAATGCCATTACTCGCACTGCGATTGCACCGCGCGTACCTACGGTAAAAATATGAATTAGAGGCGACACTTTTCTTCCTCTCTTCATGTATGTTATTGGCGAAGGGCCGATGTAAGTGTTGTACGCGATATAATGGATGGCTGCCTTTTCGGATAAAATAGCCAATTTCTATTCTATTATCTGTCAAAATAGCCCTCGGATGGGTTGGTGCGTGCGTGCGCCGAGTGGATCTTTCCTGCGAAAGCGAAACGCGTCGGAGTGTGAAAATTACTTTAGAACAAGACGAATGATAGCGACCGTCGAAGTCGGCCGCGGCTCCTTCGACGAAAGCGGCGCCTCCACCATCGGCTATGTGTATGCGTAAGTTCGGTTAGCCATTCAGTCGCGCAAGCCACCGAGGGCTCCTAGTGGATCTTTCCTGTTATCCTTACACTTTCTCGCTTGCCATTAGTAACTCACGCCCTTGTGCGCCACTCGAAACTCGACGCTTTCGACGCAACTAACTCCGTCGCATCTCTGTCGCTCGCCTGCCGCGATGTCGCGCGCTTGCCCTTTAACTGATTTATTATAATTTAAAATTAGGACCCTTTATCTACATCATTACCAAGTTCGGCAAGTCTCACTGCAGTCGCATATAAATCAGAAGTCTTATGCGTAAATAATTACGGTACTTATGCGCGAATCGATCTCGCGCCGAGCAGACAGAGCCCTTCATTTATAACGCCGCAAACTGCCGCACGAATACGCTAAGTAGGCGCAGGATGTAAGGACTAAGAAGGCGCTTCCATCTCTGCGGGGGAGGTTTAACGCTAGTGCGTGTCGCGCCGCCCAGGCTCGAAACCTCAAGCCGTGGACTGACGATTAATTGCCACAAACACAAAAATAATTTCGGGTGTTCCCGTGTCGAGTCTCTTCCTGCGCAAGCAAAAAACAAAAAGCCCGAAAGAAACACGCGAAAAGAACGAATCCATCATGCTTTAACACTGCTTTAGCAATCTTTAAATACATTCAGCTTTAGGGGAAAAAGAATAACGCCCATTATGGGATAATTAAGAACTGTTTTTAAATCATTGTTGTTTAAATTAGCTCTAATTGAAACCATTTAAGAATGCGCAGACGCCGCACATTGCTACACGTATGAGTTCATATTTTTTATGTCGAAAGGGCATGCAGTTGTTCCACAGAACATTAAGTCGTATAAAAGTGAAAATGAAAAGATGCAGCTGCCTTTGTTATATGACCATCTTGTCTGTCGCTCGCGCGCGCGTGCTTTTTATCACGGACAGGTGAATTTCACATCTGCCCTGCGCACGCTTTCAAGAATTGAGAAACCAAGTTACCACAGCAACTTTGGTGGTAATGCAATATTGCAACCATTTGTTAAAATCAAAAATCGCACTTGTGCGCGGGCACAGCTGCGGAAAATTTGCTTAATTATATTAATTGTGTTTCTTGTTTGTTTCAGGTGAGTTGTTTGCACTTCTACACGGTCTATTCGCTCCAGCTTATCTTAAGCCAATCAGAGGTGAGTGTGTAATCCGTGTACATGTTCTAACCTGGTAGCGGTAATCTCATAAAACTTCACTTCCCTTTGATTTATAATTTATTTACGTCAACTTTACGAACTCGTACTTCCGTTAGAATTGAATACGAATAAAAATGTTATCTCAACCTTTCTTCTGCCAGTGAGATGAATGTTCACATGTAATCTGTATTCATTAAAGTACCGATAAAAATAGATAACATCAATCGTATTTTTCTTCTCGGAATAACGCTTGAATAATTAATCGAGTTGAAGTTCGTTTGTTCACGGTCACAATAAACTTACTGCTTTTTCTGGAGCTGAACAAGACAATCGTTAAACTATCAGTGTTTTCATCCGTTTTAAATGTCATCATAAGTAGGCATCTTGTGCTGATGTTGTGTTAGTTCATGCGCGACGAGCAAATATTCCTATGCTCGATCAATCAAAAAAATTAAAACGATAATTGGACAACGCGGTGTTTCGTTTAAGATGTTCATTATAAGTTAAACTCTCATTTTATACACACATGCGCAATCATGTCATTGAAAGTAAAATGCAAAAACTCGGAAAAGGATGCACAAATGATGCGCTGCTTGCATCAACAATCTTAATCATAATTAAGCAATCATAGTCAATTTCAATTTTCCTCTCGTTTCCTTCGCCGATCCGGACGTGAGCGTTGATTTTTTTCATGCGATTGCTAGGTATTTTTTTATGCGCGTTGTGTTCTGCGCAGCTCGCAATTAACCGCCCTGGAATCAAACTGAATGAAATTCAGGATTATCTGGTTTCCTGTGCACGCTCGTAAGCTTTAATTCCGCGCCGATATTTACAATCCTCACGTGCACTCATTATTTCGTAAAAAAACGCTAAAAAGCGCACATCCAGCTACTTTAATATACAATCCGTCTCAGAATGCTCCGCGGAATAATCAATGATTTTGCTCGGATATATTCAACGTGTAAAGTGCATTTATGAATAGAGACGACACGAACCAGCTCGGGCAGGACGACGAGTAGTTGCTGGAAGCGCGAGAATATTGAATGAACTTTTCCCATCAGGTTACGTCTTCCTCACAGCCTGCGCCAACGCGTACGTATACTACGATGGCTTCACCGTCATCACATTGCTATATATCTCAACATCTTGGAAACTATCCGCTCAACAACTACACACTTATACACACATATACATGTATGTATAGTGTGTATATTGAATCGACTCGAATGACTTTACAAGTTGCATGCGACGAGAGAAGCGATGCATCCCAATAAGAAGTAATACGAATGAACCCGAACGTGTTTGCACCGGCAGAGCGCGCGTGTGGAGGTGAATGTGCATCGTGAGCAAAGAAAACGAACAGGTGTAACAACCGACTCACGAAACGCACTTACAATCAGTGCACATTGAACTGGTTTTTGCCTTCTGCTACATCGCAAGGTGCAAACACTCAGCAGGCGCTTTCAGTCAAAGCCAGTGGCGTACCACGATTGCTTTTAGATTACATTTTACACCTTGTTTCAAAAGCAAATTTCAATATCTTCTCAATTATAAGCTTGATGCAATGTACATTTACATTCAGATATTACTTATACATTTTACAAGGCATCCACAACGATTTAATTTAATTCTAAACGGAATCCAATACGGGAAGCGATATTACTTAAGAACACATTTTGTTGAGCATTATCCCAGCGTTGTAAACGTCATTGCTTCTGGTTCTTCACACTTCGAGGCGTTGCTTGGATAGTTTGAAATGATAGTCAAAGTAGCAGCTATCATCATCAAGCGTTTGGTTTATTCTTTCGTTTTTTGACTTTTCGCTTCAATCGCAATGCGAATTCGCTCGCGCACTCCGCCGTTATGTCAAAGAAGTCGTTATACATGCGGCAAGGCGCGAACCGGCCACGTTTACTACATTGAATATGTTCACACAATTCAGGCGCATTATCGTCGTTGCTCGAATTACTTCATACGGTGCTTGCCGTCGTCAACATCAAGTGCTGTTCAATTTTTTGCTTGTTATGATATTTTACTGCGAGTGTTTCGATAGTACCAACTAATGCTAACGATGTAAACTATATCGCAAATGATTGCTTTAAATTACAATGCGGAACACTTGCTCGCAGTGAATGTAATGACCCATAATGAAATGGACATAGAGAAGGTAGAAATAAAAGTGTGAATTGAAGTGACTAGACGCTGACTAGTCAAGTAAAAGTGAGCTATGCATGCGTGTATTATTTTGTATATGAAATTCTTTGATGGCACTTGTCTGTGCATTTTTCTGAAATGTGTTGGCCCGTTGTTTTCTCAGCCATATCAGATTTCAATATCGAAGGCAGCGCAACAAGCAAAGCCGTACAAAGTGCGCAATCGGCCGGGTTTCTGACATATGTTTGCAGCTATAAAAATGTATATAAGTGGAGATGATATTATTTTCTGATGGAAGGCTCTGGGCAGACGCGCGACGTGGACGCATGGAGAGGTTGGGAATATCCTGATTTGTTACGCGCGCGCCACTGAACCGCAACCGAGCCTTCCTCTCTCACTGCGGCAGTGGCAGCAGCAGGAGAAGAGAAAATACGGCATACGGGCGGGCGGGCGAACAGCAAGAAGCAATCTACCTGTCCGGTAACTATATCAGAAGGCTATAATCATGCCTTTCTGCTGCATACATACGTGTGCATGTGAGATAAAGCCGCGTAGGCATCGTCGAAGAAGGTCAAGAACATCGTTTCGAAGTGAACGAATGACCGAACGGAAATGACGTAACGGATATAGATTTTCTTGCTTTTATATTTCTAATAAATATACACCTCTCCGTCTTTCACGCGGACAAACGGAGGCTTTTAAAATGTAAGTGATTATGATACACGAAACGAAACTGTAAAAATAAAAAGTGACTCGAACTCGATTCGATTAATGATAAACTTGTATTAAACGAATTTGGTTTGTTCCAATAGAGACAAATTGTTCGACAACGGCGGCACGGATGTAAAAATGATCTCGAGACATGATTAATGATGGCTTCTTGCCGTTGTTGTAAATAAATAATAAAATTGATCTCCACTTAAGTAGGTGATACACCTATACACCTTGCTGTTATGTTATTATATTGTGTTCCGGGCGTATGTTTTCCTAATCGAGTAATCTATAGATTTTCTCGCGAAATTCTATTGTACTACGTGAAAGGCAAAGTAATGATGCTGTACTGTTATACTTTGGCATCGTACAATAATATGAAAAATCTTGATCTACTTCACGTAATATCTCCGGTGCATTTGATTGAATTGCAGTGCAATGTCAGTTCGGCCGCAGCTGAACCCACCTGCGAAACAATGAACAATGACGAATGGGCTGCAATTGGTGCACGTACTCGTACTGCTTTATTTTTACCTGGGAAAGATATACTCGCTATTATGTTTTTCAATTTTATTCTTGCGGGTAAACGGTACTAAAACTACGCTTGTCCAGAACTATTAGTTGTTACAGTTAGATTTCTTGACATAATAAGTTAACGAGATAATTTCTTGCAAATATTGTTTACTTTTATCATGTGTGTACAACATGATATTACAAGTATCCTCAATCAGTCATCTGTATTGTAGGGCAATTAAAATGTACGATGTCAAATATTAGTAGATACTTCCGAGTTTCAACAATGTTGGAGTCGCAACTAATTTTAAATAATCATCACTAATCGTTACTTTTGCTCCATGCGCTACAATCGCGCGCTGCGAGGTTCCCGCTTGGTGGCAATCATAATAACGGGAAATTCGTATACAAGGGAAACAGTTTAGGAAACGTCTGCGATGAAAACGTTCGGGAAACGCGAAGCAATTTGTATTTCCATCGTTCGCGCAGCTCCCCGACGCGGCGCGCCCTGGCTAAACCGAAACGAAACCCAAAACGATATTATCGCAATGTCCATATTACAACACAACACGTTCTCGGCGTCGAGGAAGGAGAAGCTCCTTATGTTGCTGATATCGCCGTGCCTTATTTTGTTTGCCCCCCGTGCCTCATACTTCTTACTTATACCAATTGCGCGCCACCATTTCTCGTTTATATTCATTATATTCATGCACACTTGATACTTAAACCTTAAACTGGCTAGCGTATGTTTAATAGGGTGGTCCACCCTCAGCGCTTAGTGTCGGGTGGAAATGGAGCGCGGTTCTATTTGAACGAATGCGCTAAAAAGTCCATCGTTTCATCCTGGAACGGGAAAATCGTGAAATGCCTTAAACGTTATGCATACTTCTAAAATTTACTTTATTTTGCGCGGCGCGCCGAAAGCTGCGCAATATGAGCTCGAACGCGGCAAGTTCCGCGCGTGAGGAGGCGTTTTTGTTTTACTACTCTTTACGATTCGCAATTACATGCTCAATAAACTTTAGGCGTTTATACTTGGGTCGTATAGCGCACTGAATGAATGAGTACTGCAGCAGGGAGCATAGCGCAGTACGTATTACGTGTAGTAAACGTAATATGTTGTCGAATCGCCGACTATATAAGAGAAAAGCCGAAAAGGGCGGCCCCGCGGAAAAAGTGCGATTTAGATAGAGATCTTTTTAAAATTTATTATCTCAAAAAACTACCTACTTGCAGTCGACTTTAATTGTTTCTTTTAACTTATCATCGTACAATCGCGCTTGTATAAATGCTGGCGGAGATAATGGAAAAGTGTAAGATGAAATTAAAGCAACTATTACATTTACGTTGCAATCATGCGCAGCACGGTTTTTAATCTTCCGGGAAAATCCAGCAATTGGCCGTCAAGTTCCTAAAAGTTTCAGTGCAGCGCAAGAAGAATATGTATGTTTTATATATGGGAATTATATGCGAAATTTGCATTTAAAGTGCCTCATCGCGATCGTTTTTCTCACTCATTCGCTTAGGATGTCTAGATTTTTACAATAGAAAAGTGCATTTTGTTGCTATTCATCGTTGCCTTTTCGGTGTGAGAATAGATGGTGCAGTACATTCGTATTAGA